CAGTGCTTCTCAAAATATTTGTGAAAAACTGGTTTTTAAATACTTCCTGTCTATTGCAGACTGATACTCTTCCAAAATACAACAAAAATGCTGCAGCGACATCTAAAAGTTGGCATGTGCTTTCTGTACTTAATTTGTCGGGGGCCAGTAAAGCTCTGTTTTTCCAAATGCATGTATATTCAACACGCTACAAATGCAGGGAAAGGGAGGGTATATGCCTACCTTCTGCTCTTGAACCTCAAACACTGCTTCATGGACACTGCAAGCAAAAAGTGAGGTAGGCAGATCACTTAAATCCATCATCTCTTCCAAATCATCTTCATTTTCACCAAAAATCATCTCTTCTTCTTCTTCTTGGTCACTGCTACAGAGATCTGACTGGCTGTCATTCCAAGATTTCATAGTGTCCCTTAACATTATCCCCTAAAAGCAGCTTTTTTCCGTTTTTAAAGTTCTAGGATGTCTAACAGGCACTTACTGTAAAAAAAAGAAAACAACACAGAGATAAAACTTTGAAGGCCAAATAACATTCCGATCAATCAATTTCTCAAGACAGCAACTCATCACATGAAGCAATTTTATTCAGGAAAGATAAATCAGCATTTAAATCAACTCATCAGTCTTCATAAATGAATTCTATATACACTAATTTGATCTGCTTAGCATATGTTACATAATATATTTCACTGGCAGTGATATATTAAGAAAAAAAGACAAAAAGTTTTCTGGTGAAATTGGAAGAAAAAAGGATAATATAAAACGAGATAGTATCAATATGTACACTAGTTTACAAGCATTAGGAAGAAAAATATGAACCAGAATGGCCTTCACATATTTGTTTTGGGTTTTGGGTCTACAACACTGAAACTGGCACAGCAGAATAAAACCCACACTGATTCACTCACCATCTGCACCCTGAAATATGGTCTGTGATGAGCTGATTTTACCTTCCTTAGACAATTTGTTCTTTTTGAATATATTCTCAAAGAATTAAGTTGCACAGAATGAAAAGTTGTCTATAAAATTGGCCTTTGTTAATATTAGAAACATTTACAGTACATAAAATTTAACATAGAATATAATTTAAAAGGTCCTTTTCCTGAACTTTTATTTGTTTTTGAAACAGTCTCCCTCTCCCATTGCCCTGGGTAGATTGCCATGGAGTCATCATAGCTCACAGCAACCTGAAACTCCTGGGCTCAAGTGATCCTCCTGCCTCAGCCTCCTGAGTAGCTGAAACAACAGGTGCATGCCACCACATCCAGCTAATTTTTCTATTTTTTGTACAGACGGGGTCTTGCTATTGCTCAGGCTAGTCTCAAACTCCTGGTCTGAAGCAGTCCCCCCGCCTCGGCCTCCCAGAGTGCTAGGATTACAGGCGTGAGCCACCGTGCCTGGCCCAGCCTCTTGCCTCTCTCAGGCC